ATGTTTGATAAGCATGATGTAAACTCTCTATGGCACAATAGGCTTGTTCATGTTCCTTTTGTTAAAATGAGAGGAATATCCTTAATTTCTTCAAAGTTTGCACCAAGACAACCATTTATTTGCCTCATATGCCCTATGGCAAGACAAACCAAGCTCCCATTTCCTCAAAGAACCAGCACTACCTCCAAATTATTTGAACTAGTACACATAGATATATGGGGCCTTACCATGTAACCACCCATGATAACTACAAATATTTTCTCACACTAGTGGATGACTTCAGCAGATCCACTTGGACTCACCTATTGAGCTGCAAATGTAATTCTCCTAAGGCTTTAAAGGCATTTGTGACCATGATTGAAAATCAGTTCAATACATCCATAAAAACTATTAGATCTGATAATGGCTTGGATTTTACCAGCCATAAAGCATGTTCATTCTACCAATCTAAAGGGATCATACATCAGAAATATGTCCCTATATACCACAACATAACGGTATAATAGAGAGAAAACGTAAATATCTACTTGAGACTGCTAGGGCACTCATGTTCCAATCTAAACTCCCAACTAAGGGTGTCTAACTGGTGGGCCGGTCCGGGCTGGGTAGAAAAATTAGTAACCGTACGGGTTGGGATCCGGGCCGGTTACGAGTTGGGGCTTATCGGATTTAACGGGTTCGAGTTCATCCGAGTAAAAAATGAACCGTAAGGGTTACGGGTACAATGGGTCGGGTCGGGCCGGGTTAGTGTAATTTTTTTTGTATTTTGTATAACTATTGTAAGTTATATTAATATAAAGTAAAAATATAAAGAATACAATGAAGATCGGAAAAAGTTGCACTTATAAATTGCAAATGCTACATTTATTTCAAAATTCAAACTTACAAATTGAAAGGTTTACATTTAACAACAAGTAAATTAACCAAAAAAGAGTAAATTCAAAGGTTTTGCATAGCCTTAGTAAGTTCGTCATAATCAATATGAACTGAGTGGCCTTCTTCTGGAGTGTTAAATCAGATGGATTACCATGTGTTAATATATCTCCAAGTTCCTCGTCTTCTGGGCTATAAACAACTTCACGTCCTTGATTTCTTCGTTCCGATCTAATCCAATCTCTGAAACATACTAAAACTTCCAAAGCATTGCTTCCCAATGAGTGACGGGTGTCTCCAAGTTATTGTCTTGCTTGGCTAAATGCACTCTCTGATGCAATAGTTGAAATTGACACATTCAGCACGTCCCGAGCAATAGCGGAAAGAACAGGAAATTGCTTTCCATTCTCATGCCACCATCCCAACGGTGAAAATTCCTTTGTGCGAGGCTCTTTTTGCTTCTGCAAGTACAATTGAAGTTCATCAATGTTCCTACTACTGGTTTGAGTGTTAGAAAATGTAACAAAAATATTAAAACTATCAAGGCCTTCATCATCATCCACAGTAGTAGAAGTGGTACAGTGCATAGTAAAATTAACATTGCCAACATTAAGAGCAGCACAATCAATTACATTTGCATAATAATTATATAATTGTTGTAAAGAATCATTTAGCTTGTTCATACAAGCATATATATATATATATATATATATATATATATAGGGTTTCAATTGGTCCAATCTCCATATAAGTATATAAAGTATTCATTAATTGGTAACAATCATATATCTTAATAGAAGGATTTAAAACAGCACCAATTAAGTAAATCGGAGGAATTGGAAAGAAGTATTTTTTGAATTTTGCTTGCATTTGTTCAACAACATCCCTATATTTTTCTTTCTTCTTAAATTCAAAGAGTAGAAACAAAATTTCAGCTATATGTACTAAAACCATAGTAACAATAGGATAATATGCTCCAGAAAACTCAACAGTAGCTGTATAAAATTTATGTAAAAATTTAATAACATCATTAATGACCTCCCAAGTAGTAGTTGTTAACATACGGTTTGGATCAGTACAATGCGCATTAGAAACTTCAGTTATTGGGAATCTATATTTGTAGAAATATTTTAAAAATATATATGTATAATTTCATCTAGTAACAATATCGTCTGGCATGAATCTGGGTTTAGGGTTATACTCGGTACACTTATTCTTAAATTTCTCTAATTCTAGATTGTCTATTATTTTCTTGAATAACACCAACTGCTCTTTTAACATGAGTAATCTCAGTTGAAAATAAATCAAGGCCACTTTTAACAATTAAATTATAAACATGACATGCACACCTAACATGAAAAATTTCGGCAAGTGGTGGCTGCAAATGCAGTTTTAATATTGAAATTGCGGCATTATTGTTAGAAGCATTATCAAAAGACATACACAATACTTTTTGCTTGAGATTATAAAATTCAACAACTTCACAAATAGTAGTACTTATAAACGCAACAGTATGACTCTGATCCTCATCATATTTAAAAGTGATAATGCATTTTTTCATACAATAGTTATCATCTATCCAATGATATGTAATTGTCAAATAATCATTTCCATTAATAGCATCGCCGATATGAGAAGTTAGAGAAACTCTACAAGGAAGGTGGCTAAACAAATAACGTATGTATATTTGATATTGTCCATGAAGTCTAAAGATATCAGATCTATAAGTACTTCTAAGGATACCTTTAAATAAAGGATTATGAATCCTTTGAATATACATAATAAGATATGATGAAGAAGCAAAAGAAAAAGGTAGACAACCCAAAGCAATCATTTTTGCTAACTCCTAACGATCCTTCATTTTATTATATTTTATAAGTCCTCCGGTATTAGGGTTTAGAGTTGCTTGATTTTCATCTCCATCAGAGACTCATTCTATAGGATGCTTAATTCTCATATGTCTACTAAGCGTCCCATTCCCCCCTAATTGTCCTCCAGTCTTATGTTTAAAAGTATCATTACAAAGTTTGCATTTAACTCTATCAGTACCTTCTATTTCGTCAAAAAATTTCCAAACCTTACTTCTTTTTCTCCTATTAGTAGTCGGAGCCACAGGTGGTCTACTACTAGCACCACGACCACCACCCCTGCTACCAGCTCCAACACTACTAGGTGTAAGTGGTATCTCATCTTCCATTTCTAATTCATTATCTTCTATACCGATATTTTCCTGTAATTATTCATAATCTATATTATTATCAGGTAATGTTTCAGGAATATGTGCAAAGTCATTTAAATTATTACCAGATGTTGAAGCAGAAGTACTACCTCTTTTTTTGTTTTCCCGATTAGTAACCTTATTACAAACTCTTTTTGCAGCATTAAACGTATTGTAAAAATTTAACTACTAGAAAAAATTAAATATGAAAATAAAATAGTAAATAAGAGAAAAAGTTGTAGGGAGTGCACCGAATTCGGCAATAAATTGAGCACTTGATGAGGCTTCGTAACTCCAATGTTACCACGAAGAAACGTCAATTGTTCCAATTTTGAAGTTGAATTGTTCAAACTTCAAATAATAAATACTACGATAAATTAAATTCCAAAAAAAAGAGCCAAATAGTTGATTGCACTTTAGGTGAAGATTCAAGAATGAGAGAATATAAGAATTGATATTGAGAAATGTGAGATGAGTGAAGAAGTGAAGAAGGGGGGGTGTATTTATTGTTTTTCAAAGGGGTGTTAATAGAAAAAAACCCAAAATGGGCTATTTGTGAAAATCTGCCGTTGGGCAACGGCCATAAGGGCAGAAGACCGTTGCCTACGGTCAGAAATAAGGCCCACTATTAAAAAAATAAAAAATTAACTAGCCGCTATACCGGTCTGGGCCGGTTAACCGGTTGAACAATAAAAACCGTTGACCGGGTTTGGCCGGTCCGGTTAACCGGTAGAATTTAAGTAGACGGACCAACCCCCTACCCCTTTAACCCAGCCACACCCGGCCCCTTGTACCAGTTCGGGCCGGTTCTGGTTAAACCCGGATCATTAGACACCCTTAATCCCAACCAATTATTGGGGAGATTGCATCCTACCAGCCACCTATCTGACAGATAGGCTGTCAACCACTTACCTTAATAACAAATGTCCCTTTGAGTTGTTATACCAAAAGAAACCCAATTACTCTCACTTGAAAAGCTTTGGGTGTCTCTGCTACCCCACTATAGCCAAGACACACAGAGACAAATTTGAACAAAGAACTACCCCTCACATCTTTGTAGGATATCCTTTTGGCACAAAAGGTCACAAGGTACTAAGTCTGACCACCAAGAGAATACACATCTCCGGAGATGTAATCTTTCATGAAAATGTTTTCCCATTCTCCTTAAGTTCTAAAAATCTTCCTTTCCTGTTGTTCTTAAGACAATCTCATTTCCTAACTATGCTGAGGACAGTAGTCAGGTTTCCCCTATGAACATTGGACGGAGTCCTGTTAGTATCACATTTCCAGACATAGAACACCACTCTGAGACACTTACCAATAATACACCTTCTCTAAATACCTCTGATCCTCCATCTCCAAATGATAACAATTTGCAGACTTCATCTACACATGTACAATCAGAAGCACCAATTTTAAGGAAATCCAATAGAAGTCATCAGGCCCCTGTCTACTTAAAAGATTATGTTTACCAATTGCCCAGTAATACTACTCAACTGTCCAATACTCCTCACTGCACCCCTTCACTAAATGCCTTATTTTCTAATCATCATCATATCACTCCTGATGCTCTATTTTCTGAAAGTCAGCACTTGGTGCTACGTGTTTGTCATGATAGCGAGCCATCTTCATATGAAGAGGCAACCCTCAATCCTGCTTGGCAAGCAGCCATGACACAGGAATTTGAGGCACTCCATGCCAACCATACTTAGGATTTGGCCCCCTTACCAGCCGAAAAACAAGCAATAGGTTGTAAATGGGTATACAAGGTTAAACATAGAGCAGATGTGAGCATCGAAAAGTTCAAAGCTAGGTTGGTAGTAAAGGGTTATACTCAGCAGGTTAGGATTGATTATACAGAAACCTTCTCCCTGTTATGAAAATGACAACAACCAGAGTCCTAGTTACAATGGCTGTTAAAAAGGGCTGGGACATATTCCAATTGGATGTGAACAATGTCTTTCTCCATGGAGACCTACACGAGAAAGTATACATGGAGGCTCCTCCTGGACTTGTAGTTGATCAATGCAGTCCAAGTAGAGTGGTATGCAGGTTGAACAAGTCATTATATGGACTGAAACAAGCCAGCAGACAATGGTATGCCAAATTAACCTAGGCACTATCTTCAAAAGGGTACCAACATTCTGAAAATGATCACTCCTTTTTCTGCAAGAAAACTTCCTCATCCATCATCTTTGTGGCTGTATATGTTGATGTTGTTATAATCACTGGGACTAACTCAAAAGAGATTGCAAGCTTGAACGCCTTCCTGGATCAAAAGTTTAGAATAAAGGATTTGGGCAGACTTCACTATTTCTTGGGTCTAGAGGTCTTATACAAACCAGATGGTATTCTTATTTCTCAAAGGAAGTTTGTTTTAGACTTATTGAAAGAATACCAGTGTTTTGTCTACATCAATGCCTCCTCACCTCTTGATCCTACTGTGAAGCTAAAAGCACAAGAGGGTAATCTCCTACCATATCTCACATACTGCATAAAATTAGTGGAAAAGCTCAACTTTCTCACCAATACTAGGCTGGATATAGCCTACAGTGTGCAACTCTTAAGTTAGTTTATGCAAGATCCAAGGGACACCCATTTGACTGCAACATTTCACCTTCTTAGATATCTCAAAAGGATCCTACCTTGGGTGTCTTCTTCTCTAACAATCCTGACTGTTCAATTAAGGCTTATTGTGATTCAGACTGGACAGCTTGCCCGGACTCTAAAAGGTCTGTTGGGTACATTGTTTTAGTAGGAGACAGCCCTATTAGCTGGAAGTCCAAGAAGCAGGAGACTGTTTATTTGTCCTCAGTTGAAGCAGAATAGAGATCCCTCAGGAAAGTAGTTGGGGAGTTGGTGTGGTTGAGCAGGCTATTTGCAGAACTTACTGTTGCCCAATCAAGTCCTATCCAGGTGTTTTGTAATAGCCAATCTGCCATACATATTGCCAATAATCCAGTGTTTCACGAAAGGACCAAGCACATTGAAGTCGACTGCCATTTTGTAAGGAACAAGCTGCAAGAAGGCCTCATCTCTTCATCATGTGAATACTCACAATCAGTTGGTTGATATCCTTACTAAGGCCCTCACATAGGTCAAACATTCAGCTGTCTTCCATTCTCTCTATCTCTTGCTCTCTTTCTTCTCCTTTCTCAGAATGTTCTAGTAGACTCCATGGGAGCTCTGTTAATCTGAGCTTCCAAGCATAAATTCATAATTGATATGATATAATGGTTGATAATATATTAAATTTATGAAGATTCACAAGAAGAAGTATCAAAATTGCATTTTTTTAATAAAATGAAGGTTAAATCTACTTAGTCAAATATCACTGAGCCAAAATCAAAAAAATTCAGCACTAAAAGCACAAATTTCTGAAAGAAAAATTCTATCTTTTGACCTTTTGGCCCCCTCATACTATATTGTGAAAAAATATTTGGCTAAATATAGAAGTTTTACACTATTAACCAGGGGTCTCTAATTTGAACTTTAAAAATAAAAAGATATTGATAGAAAATGCTTCTCCCTTAATATGCCTTACACAATTAGAATGCGAATTAATTTGGGCCCAAATACCATATAGCGGCGGGAAATAAAAAGGGCAAAGATCTCATTTGACCCACGACCGAAACTATTCATATTTGGTAGCAGCAAAAGTGCATATGTATATTTTTTGCATCAAGAAAAAAAACATTTGGTGCTATATTTTGAAAACATAAAACAAGAAGGGTCAAAAGAAAAAAAAAAGATTAAAACAAAAACCAGCAGCCGTAGTAGGTCACAAATAGTAGTATATAGAATCTTGAAAGTGGAAATGTTAACTACCGCTAAGAAATTAAGTTCAGTATATATGAAACAAATTTCACTGCTGTTTTCTACACCTTCTTCTTCTCCCTTCATTTCTTCATCACCTTTTTTATCATTTGGTTCCTCAATTTCTATATTTACTATCCCCTCCATCAATCCACGTGTCACTCAATTCTTGAATTTAAACTTTCAGTTCAGGTTTGTGTTCTGCTCATTTCTTTTATATTTTCTTTGCTCCAAATTTTCATTTTTGGAATGTGGTGTTTGAGATTTTTGCATATTATCAATTTATCATGTGTTTATTTTGGCACCTTTTATGTGTATTTTGTTCAAAGTTTTCATTTTTGGTTGAGGGTATTTAAGCTTTTAGCTTATTATCAGTTTATCATGTGTTTTTTTTTGTTCAAGTTTTTCATTTTTGTTGATTATCAGTTTATCATGTGTATTACCATTTCTTTAACTTGTTTTGTTCAGAGTTTTGATTTTTGGTTGTGGTATTTAAATTTTTTATTTTCGCGAAGAAGGGGAGCCTTGCGTAACTGGAACTGGTAAAGCTGCTGCCATGTGACCAGGAGGTCACGGGTTAGTGGAAACAATCTTTTGCAGAAATGCAGGGTAAGACTGCCTGCAATAGACCCTTGCGGTCCGACCCCTTCCCCAGACCCCCCTCCCCCCGCATATCGGGAGCTTGGTACACCGGGCTGCCTTTTTACTTATTATCAACTAATTTATGTGTTTGTTTGGGCACTTTTTATGTGTATTTTGTTGTTGAGGTAAGTGAATGAATAAAAAGTCTACTTCTGTTTAGTGTTTAAATTTTTGGATGAAGCGGTTTATGTAATTTAACATGGTACAAGTGTACGCACGTGTTTGAATCTGAGCAACACTGTCCGATGTATATCTAATACAAAATAATTCAGTGAATCACCTAACACGTAAAGGGGCGTGTTGCAAACTTAAATAAATAATGAGAAGTAACTCTGCTCGCGCAATTTAGAGGTTTAGATGAGATGGTTTGCACAATTTATCTTGTTTTATCATTTGGTGCAGTCTTAAACCATCTGTTTCATGATGTTATGCATTTTCTTAAGACATAGAATGACTGTTATGCGATCCTTTGCATGAAAATGCAGATAGATGTATAAACTTTAGAGGCTGTTGAAGTGTCCAAATGTAATTTACTTTTACTTGTAATGGATAAAAAAACAGAACGATGGCATCTCACGTTGTTGGATATCCTCGTATGGGGCCCAAAAGAGAGCTTAAGTTTGCGTTGGAATCTTTTTGGGATGGGAAGAGCAGTTCCGAGGATTTGGAGAAGGTGGCAGCTGATCTTAGGTCATCCATTTGGAAGCAGATGGCTGAAGCTGGTATTAAATATATTCCGAGCAACACGTTCTCATATTATGACCAGGTCTTGGACACAACTGCTATGTTAGGTGCAGTTCCGCCAAGATATAGTTGGAAAGGTGGTGAGATTGGTTTTGATGTATACTTCCCGATGGCTAGGGGAAACGCCTCTGTACCTGCCATGGAGATGACAAAGTGGTTCGACACCAACTAGTAAGTGACGACTTTTCATTCAAGTGTTTTAACAACTTAGTGAACTCTGAGATCTGTTGCATATCATTGTGTAATTGAAGGTTAATATGAGATTCTTGTTCTTGGATGCAGCCACTACATTGTTCCTGAATTGGGGCCAGATGTTAAGTTTTGTTATGCATCTCACAAGGCAGTTAATGAATACAAGGAGGCTAAATCGGTAAGTTTATGCCTCATACTAAAAGTTTCGACTTTCTTTCTTGTTGCAAACTATATTGCTCGGAGTCTCCGAAAATGCCACTGGGTGTGTCGGATCTTCCAAAAGTAGTGCATTTTTGGAGGATCCGATATGGGTGCGGCAGTATTTTGGAGAGTCTGGCAGCATAGGTTGCAAATGTATATTAATATAAATGGTACAAGATGTTATATAAGGAGTTCTCAGACTCACAAGCATCAAATATGTCATTGCAATGAAGATCACATTATGGGTGGTCCCTTTTTTTGTTCTTAATTTAACCATGGTGTCCGGGCGAGCTTAAGCGCACCTCGACTAATTCCACGGGATTCCTGCTAGCTCCCACCACCAACAAGTACTAGGTAATTTTGTCCACCAAGGCTTGGACAGATAGGACGAAAATGCCTAGTGTTTTTAGGTCTCTGTTGGCATTTGAACCTAAGACCTCATGGTTCTTAACCAACTTAATGGGTGCTGTTGCCTGGGAGTAGTAACAAATTTCAAGTTTCAGGATTAACTTACATATTTAGATAGGAAAACCAAAAAGACTCTGATGCATAATTCGAGGATATACCGAAAAGGGTCAACTCTGCTAAGAGGTCTGTTGAGCAGTTTGTGTCGTCAGTATCATAGTAAAATTGCACTTAGTAACCCCTATTATTTTGTCTTTATTGAAAACCATCCTGATGTGGTATTGACTCGTATTTTCCTAGTATAAACTGATAGCCACATGTCAGTTGTTTTAGTTTGTTCCTCCAATTAACTGAATCTTTTGGAATTATTTGGTGTGCTGATATTGGTTTCAACTTTTTGATTTTGCAGCTAGGTGTTGACACCGTCCCTGTTCTTGTCGGTCCAGTTTCCTTCCTCTTGTTATCAAAAGCAGCAAAAGGTGTTGAAAAGTCGTTTCCTCTTCTCTCACTGATTGACAAGATTCTTCCTGTTTACAAGTAAGATAAAACAAATTTCCCTTATTTATTATTTATCCTGTATTTCTATCTCATAATGTTCACCACAACTGCCTTGTATCATGCTGCTCATTTAGGGAAGTCATTGCTGAACTGAAGGCAGCTGGTGCAAGTTGGATTCAGTTTGATGAGCCTACTCTTGTTAAAGATCTTGATTCTCATCAATTACGGGCATTTACTCATGCCTACTCAGAATTAGAGTCGTCACTTTCTGGTTTAAACGTCCTCATCGAGACATACTTTGCCGATGTTCCTGCTGAAGCTTTCAAAACAGTGACCGCTTTAAAAGGTGTTACCGCATTGGGGTTTGATCTAGTTCGTGGATCAAAGACTCTTGATTTGATCAAGAGCGGTTTTCCTTTGGAAAAGTATCTTTTCGCCGGAGTAGTTGATGGGAGGAATATATGGGCCAATGATCTTGCTTCTTCTCTGAGTACCTTGCAAGCTATTGAGAACATAGTTGGAAAAGGTAATTCCTTATAACTGCACTTTTATACGTTGAATCGTGAAATCTGACCGCATTGTTCTCAAGAAACCTAGAAATTTATGTTAATTGTGATTTCCTTTTTGTTCTCTAGCTTTTCATTAGGAAATTTAACGGCATAGAATAGGAACCATAAGGTCTGTTTCAAACTTTGAAGTATCAGTCAAGCAATTTTGGCTGTTTAGTTATTCCATTATCCTTTGTTATCGCCACATTTTTCTACATAATGTTAGTCTTCCAAAATTTAGAAGACTTTCTACACTTTTGGTATGCATGTTGATTTTTAGACATGTACCAATAAAGTGAATCCTCGGTTTGCTCTTTGCTTTATCTAGAAATAAGGAAATAAATGAAATTAGTGCAATCTTTGCAACTGTATATATAACAAAATCTTAGTCTGTGCATTATTGGAAGCATATGAGTGACGTTTTTGGGCATTTTTCTTCAGACAAGCTTGTGGTCTCCACGTCCTGCTCGCTTCTCCACACTGCAGTTGATTTAGTGAATGAGACTAAGTTGGATGAAGAAATTAAGTCATGGCTTGCATTTGCTGCACAAAAATTGGTGGAAGTCAATGCATTGGCAAAGGCATTAGCTGGCCAAAGAGACGAGGTATTTTTACATATTTATGTTAATCATCTACATGGAAGATTTATCATCATTCTGGATCAGGCAAAGATAAATCTGGAACATAATCGGATTTAAATAGTAATGAATCTTTAAATCGTAATAGTGGTCATATTTTACAGTGAAGTTTCTGTCTGCAGGCGTTCTTCTCTGCTAATGCTGCGGCTCGCACTTCCAGAAAATCCTCTCCTAGAGTGATAAACGAGGCTGTTCAAAAGGCTGTAAGTATATTTAGGTGTTTTATAATTAATATCGATTTTATTATAGTTTAAGCTGTTTGGAATTATCGACTCATAATTCGCATCTCATGTTCAGGCTGCTTCTTTGAAGGGCTCTGATCATCGCCGAGCCACAAATGTCAGTGCAAGGTTGGAAGCTCAACAGAAGAAGCTGAATCTTCCCGTTCTTCCAACCACTACTATTGGTTCTTTCCCTCAGACGTTAGAGCTAAGAAAAGTTCGCCGAGAATACAAGGCTAACAAGTTAGCTATTTACTTGTGCAGTTACTCTTTTTAAATTTGTTATGGTTTATATCTGCATATTAAATTTTTAGGCTGCTGCAAAAGATAATAGCCGGCAAATGTATATGTTTTGTATGTTAAGTATAATATACATAAATATACAAATAATATACATAATCAGTGTATATGGTTTGTATATTTGGGCTACCACCCACAGTTAATTTCTGCCGATGGGCCAAAATAGGATCTCAGGGGAAGGATATGTCAAGTATATAACAGAGGAAATCAGCAAAGTAGTCAAACTCCAGGAAGAGCTAGACATTGATGTTCTTGTGCATGGAGAGCCGGAGGTGAGATATATAAGTCAAGTAATTGTCTATATGCTTATGCCAAAGAAGCTGAGAACACTTGAATTTCATCATCAATATGCAGAGAAACGATATGGTTGAGTATTTTGGGGAGCAATTATCTGGCTTTGCTTTTACAGCCAATGGATGGGTTCAATCATATGGATCCCGCTGTGTTAAGCCACCAATTATCTATGGTGATGTTAGTCGCCCGAAACCAATGACCGTCTTTTGGTCTTCACTGGCGCAGAGCATGAGTAAGCGCCCGATGAAGGGAATGCTTACCGGTCCTGTTACTATTTTAAACTGGTCTTTTGTTAGAGATGACCAGCCGAGGTTCGAACTTTTAAGCTTGAACACAGTAACCTATCTTTCTTTCCTGCCGCACTTCTAATTTAACTGATTTGTTGTTGTTTTTTAGGTTTGAGACTTGCTATCAAATTGCTTTGGCTATTAAGGATGAGGTTGAAGATCTTGAAAAGGCTGGCATTACTGTCATTCAGATTGATGAAGCTGCTTTGAGAGAGGGTTTGCCTCTTAGGAAGTCCGAGGAAGCTTTCTACTTGAACTGGGCTGTACATTCATTCAGGATAACTAACTGTGGTGTTCAAGACACTACACAGGTCCATATTCACTCTAAGTTTTCATTATAAATATAATTATAACTATGTGCAAAAGTATGAAGGGGAGCCCTGACGTAATTGGTAAAGTTGTTGCCATGTGACCAGGAGGTAACGAGTTCGAGCCGTGGGAACAGCCTCTTGCAGAAATGCAAGGTAAGGCTGCGTACAATAGACCCTTGTGGTCCGGCCCTTCCCAAACCCCGCACATAGCGGGAGCTCAGTGCACCGGGCTGCCCTTTTATGTGCAAAAGTATCTTATGCTAGCTTCTTCTTCAAAAGTTATCTTCCTACATCAAAATATATATCCTGGATAGTCTATTTATTATCCTACTAAACTACCATCAGAATTCATGCACCTGTTCACTCCCAGAACAGGAAGAAAAAGGATAAGAATAATAGAAAAGGTTAAGGAACATAATGTTTCCCATGTCCAATGGTATTGCAACAAGGGGGTGGAAAGACTCATAAGCAAATTCGTATGTGTGAAATTGGTGATTCCTTTCAAATAGTTGTCTCATGTCTGATAAAGCTAAGAGCTCGGTAGAGCCTGGAGGTGTTTTGTGTTATTAGGGAGCTTTTTCTCTTTAAGGTAGTAAATCTCTTCTTTGCCTCGGGACTTTGTTGCAGTAGTTAAAACGTAGCACATGATCTGTGGGTTAGGGGCATGTCACGAGTTCAAACCCTGCAGCGGAAAAAAACGTGGTTTTAAGTAGAGAAGGGTGGAAGGGCGGGTTATTATCCACCGAGTTTCAGACCATAGGCCAGCTAGCCCATGGGGATTTATTAGTTTAAAAAAAGTATGTAAATTTTATCTTCTTTTATATGATTCTGATCATTGTTGCCATTTGTTGTGACAGATTCACACCCACATGTGCTATTCAAACTTCAACGACATCATCCATTCAATTATCGACATGGATGCTGACGTGATCACTATCGAGAACTCCAGGTCAGATGAGAAGCTTCTTTCTGTTTTCCGCGAAGGAGTGAAGTATGGTGCTGGCATTGGCCCTGGAGTATACGACATCCATTCACCAAGGATTCCATCGGCAGAAGAAATTGCTGACAGAATCAGCAAAATGCTTGCAGTTCTTGATACCAACATCCTTTGGGTTAACCCTGATTGTGGCCTCAAGACACGCAAGTACACTGAAGTTAATCTGGCTCTCAGCAACATGGTAGCCGCAGCTAAGATTCTCCGCGCACAGTTGGCCAGCACAAAGTGAGATAGTCGATCCAACGATGAGTCTTGTTTGAAATTACAAGAGCAGTGTTACTTTTATGTGCAAGAATCAGGGAGAACACTCTTCTCCAAGAAATAATATGTAGGCTTCTGAGTCTGGCAAAATTAGTTGTATGAATATTTCTTTATCCATTCTATTCTAGTGTGGTTTATTTCATTCCAATAGATAGTGGAGAAATTTGGGTTCTTTGAAACTTGAGTTTTGGATAACTTAGTGTAGCAAGTAACATAACTTATTTTTCAAGTCATGACGATTAGTTATAGTATTATTTGGCGACTCAATAGTATAAAAGAATTTATTTACTGTCGGAGTAGCAGAAGCCAGATTTGATGAAGTAAGAATAGAAGCAGAGAAATGAATTCACTGAAAGATGAAGCTACTGTGACAACTCAAGAATATGATAATTTTGTGCCATCATCAGAGCTAGCTCAGGAAAACGCCTCTTGACACTCTTCTCCTTAATATTCCACGCTATAACAATAATAACTCAAGGCAGATCCAAAATTTAAAGGCAACGGGGCCACCTCATATATATCCATATTTATCAAAATTTTCATACATAGAATCTGACCTCGAGACAATAGATGCATATGCACTCAATATATATATCAGATCTGACCTCAAGAAATATCAATTATCAACATGAGAGATTACAGTTAACTTGAATGAAATTTTACTACTCTATCCACATGAGATATTTTCAGAGGAAAAAAAAAAGATGAAGGTACATTCCATATACAAAGTTCACTATTCGCAGCATGATATCAAATTCCACAATGGTACCACTGAAGAAGGTGACTTCTCAAAAGATGCAGTAACCTTTTCAGCACCAATGGACTGTTTTGGAGATTTAGTTTCCGTAGTTTCCATGAAAGGTTTGGTTTTGGAGATTTCATCTTCCATGTCCGAGGGAAACAGTTGCCTGAAATTGGAAAAGATGTCAAAAGAATGTCGAAAAGTAAAGAATCTTAGCTATTAGCTATATCCATTTGGCTCAAGATGTCAAAAGAAAGTAAGAAAGTAAAGAAGGGTATTAGCTATTGGCTATTAGCTTACGTTTTGTTAAAGCTATATAAGCGACCTTGGCAGCATTTCTTCTGCCTGTTTCTTGGACTTTGCAGCATCCCCATGAACGACTTCTTCTTCAATTTCTACACTTGAGAAGAATGTGAGACTCGCCAATCCTGATTGTTTTATATTCAGACAAGCAAAGTTCTTCATGTTGCGCCAGTTGTTGCAGGAAACTCTTGTAATTGCTGGTATTACTCTGCAACAAAAAGAATAAAAAGGATGAAAAAGTAAGGTCAGTTATTAGCAGTATAGAAGACATAACGTGAATGACATTATCGACTCCAGGGCCCATGCCAGCACCACACTGCACTCCCTCATGGAGCACAGAAAGAAGCTTCTCATGTGACAGGAAGTAGTTATTGATATTCAAAAACTTAGAAAATGATAATACCTGAAGATAACTAAATACCACTGAAAATACTCATGTTACTTCTCATATTAAGAGTGCAATAAAATATGATCTAGAACAAAAAGCAGAGCGGCAAAAGAATTAAAAATCAGAACAGGTGTACCTCTTAAAAAAGCTAGCTTGGAAAGCTTAAGCAATGTTCTAATTGTCATGCTTTAACCTTCTGTCATTCCATTGGATGCGATTTCCTTGGCCAAGGTAAAAGGAAATTACATCATATTGATAACAAGTGAAATAAATATTCACTTCTTATTTCTCGAGTGAAATTGTGGTATCATGTTAAGCAAAGAAGGATCCTTCGCTATAACATCTATTAGTAACTCTACTGTACTTGCATCAAATGAGAAGCCCCTTCCAGTCATTTCCTTCGAAAAAGTTATCATTTCACTAATTTTGCCAAACTTGAGAAATCCTCGCACAATAATATTATAAGTGACATCGTTTGGCGAATGACCATTCTCCTCCATTTTTCTTAACATATCTTTAGCTTCATCTAACAACCCTTCTAGACAAAATCCAGTAATTATTATTGTGTATGTAATCACATTGGGAAACAATCCAATTAAAAAAAGCTTCTCAAAAATAGCATGAGCTTTGTCGAACCGGCCATGTTTGCACAATCCATCAATTAAAACATTATAAAGTTCAATATCAGTATCTTCTCTCTTTACTTCCAACTCATGAAATAGCGATATAGCTTTCTCAAGAAGCCCAGTCTGGAAATAACCACGGAGCAAAATGCGATTAGTGCATAAATCAGGCTTGAGCCCTATAGATAGCATCTCATCAAAGAATTTTTGCGCAAAGTCAATTCTTCCAACTTCAAATAGACCTTGCAAGATAGTATTGTAGGTAACAATGCTAGGTTCCAATCCGTTTCGAGGAATTTCATGAAACAAATGCATGGCCTCATCCAATTTCTTCTTCTTGCAATATCCATTTATTAATATGTTACAGCTAATAGTGGTAGGCTTAATGCTCTTATTAATCATGGAATCAAAAAGTCTCCTTGCTCTATCCATTTGACCGCGTAAGCAATATCCATCAATTATAACATTGTAGGTAACCACATTAGGCTCCACACCTTTTCCAGGCATGTGTCTCATTACCTCCTCAGCATCTTCAACTTTCCCCTCTTTGCATAGACCATCTGTCAGTATGCTGAAGGTGCGGACATCTGGATAAATATTAAGATTTACCATTTCGAAGAACAAAGTACTAACCTTCTCCCACAGACCAAATTTACAAAGACCATCAATCAATGAACTATATGCGATAACATCTGGAGGAATGCCTTTTTGTTTCATCTCTTCAAAAAGGCTAATAGCAGCATCTATCATTCTATCTTTGCATAGGGCATGTATAACAATGTTGTAGATAGGTGTGTCCGGCTTAACGCTTCCTTGTTCCATTACCCTAAGCAAATCGAATGTTTTTTGAGTATGGCCCATTTTGCTAAGTCCATTCATGACAATTGAATACATGACTTCATTAGGCTCACAAATATTCTCTCTCACCAACTTTTTGAACAAGTTAACGCATCTTTTATCTTACTTTCCGCAAAGAGCCCCCTTAGTAAGGTGCTAAACGTGAGAACATTAAATGGAATGCCCTTCTTCAAGTAAATGGCTAACACCGAAAATCCGCAGTCAGAACGATGCACTAGGCAATAATTGTTGATCGCGATATTCAAGATGGAATCACTAATTGGGATGCCTAATTTCAGCATTTGTCGAAAGAGGGAAACAACAGCTGAGTAATGCTTCATATTTAACATAGTCTTCAATAATTTAGAGAAGCTAAAAACAGAAGGAAGAGGCTGTGTACTGACCATTCGACCAAAGAGAGTCAGAGCATCATCTAAACACTTGACATTATCAGTATTGCTATGAGATGAAGAATAATATCTGATTGCAATTGCCGAAGCAGAATGAGAATTAGCAAAGGAAATACCATTACAAGAGTAACGCAGCAGAGGAATTCTCGTCATCTTCAATTTGGCTAAGGATTTTTGTCGGCGGGTGGTGCTCCGCTTCGGTGTGCCCTAATTTTGCACGGAATCCATTGTTTGGTTCAAAACCAATAGTAGTTAAAAGAATTAATTATTTTTTTACTACATTTTCCTTGGAGTAAATAGCGTTGGAATATGTGTTAGGAGTATTTATGTGAGATAGTAAAGGTTAATATGGTCAATTCCATTGCTAATTAATACTAAAAGGTGTATTTCTTAATCTGTATGAAAACTTCCAAAAAATCACTTATTTTGGACCGGAGAGAGTATAACTTAAATAACGAATTTTTCAATTTGTACGAGAAAGTGAATTTTTGGGTTTGGACATAAGAATTGTAAGATTCCGAAAAAGTGAATTTTTGGGTTGTTTTTTAATTTTTGTGAGCCATTTGAGTCGAAAATTTTGAAAAATAGTTTTTTAGAGTTTTTTAATTTTTTCTTAAAAGTTGTAAAATTGATGTTCAAGTGAAAATTGAAAATTTTATGGTCAAACACTAATTTAAAAAAAGTGAAAAATATAGCCAAACGGGCTCTAAATTACCTAAAATTTTAGTATTAGTATTAGTATAATAATAACAATACTTCCTTTAGCTAATAATTCCAACCAAAATAAATTTCTTCCCATAATGTATACTTGAATAACCCACATAATCCCTTGAATCAAACGACTCCTCACAGTCTTAATATGTTCAAATCAAATTTTTAGGTGACCGCTCCCTTCCCAACAATTTAATTTAACGAGCAAAATAGCTAAATTGACACATGTGCATGCACCAATTTTTTTTTAAACAAGTCAATTCCTCAACTCTGGCGTTTCTCAATTTAAACGCCAATTTTTACACTAATAGTTGATGCCATAAGTACTAATAAACGCCTCTGACTATTAATTACAAATTATTAAGGAAACGTGAAGAAATCATCTAGTATTTTTTGCCTTCATCGCGATGATCTATCTATCTATATCTATATTATTATAAAAGCATGAATACAATATCGGTTTACCAAAATAACCTTATAATATTAAGTATAATAACTCACAATAAAAGGACATAATCGTAATTCTAAATATTAGCCTTATAATCCTATTAGTTTTAGGACATATACCACACCTATAGGAGTCCTATTAGTATACTTACTTTCGGGCATAGACATTTAATACTACATGTTAGCATGTAATACGTTAGCTTTTTATTTTTTTAGTATTTTGGTTGACTAAATTGGAGTACTATTGGGTCTTAGCAAAGATTGTAACGTAAAATTTCCTATTAAAATGTTTTGGCGTCTTAGAAATTAGGTTTTGGCTCATCCAAAAAGGTCGTGATGCTTTTGATCAGTACCTTTTAATTTATTAGAAGGTGAAAAGGAAATCAACGATAATTAATCTTTGTCTTGAAAATGAAAGTTAATAAATTAATCTATCTATATCTATATTTATATATCTATCTATCTATATTTATTATAAAAGCATGAATATAATATCGATTTATAAAAATAACCTTATAATACTAAGCACAATAACAGGACATAACCGAAATTCTAGACATTAGCATTATAATCCTATTAGTTTTAGGACATGTACCACACGTTAGGAATTCTACATGATATCCTTAAGGAGTCCTATTAGTATATTTACTTTCGGCATAGACATATAATACTACATGTTAACATGTAAACTAATACCTTTAGGAACACGTTAGGTTTT